TGTGTCACTACTTTACCTAACACTCACTTCCCAGCTCGAAGGTAGCCTGTGCGTTAGAACAACGTTTGCCGAGTTTTAAATAAACGTCAAGGCGCGGGGCAAACGGTTAGTTTGCCTCACAAAACGCGACCAAAGCGTCTTGCAGCGGAGAGCAACTGACTGGCGGGAATGATGTCACGCAATTAGCGCTAATTGTTCGTCAATTCGCGGGAAATGCCGCGTTCACGCATTTCGTACGTCCGCGATGGAGTGCCGTTGCAATATTCACGATCGCGTATTATTCCGTCGAAAAAGCGGAGCAACGCGCGTTTTGTAAGGTCAAAGTTTAACCGTCGCATATTTTTTTTGGTCGCAATTAAAACTCCGAACCCTTCGATACTACGCGTCTGGATAATCGAGCCCGGAATTAAAACTCCATCGCGGCCCGCGTGAAATTAACCGAAGAACGAAAGGTTACCGCCTCGCTCGGTCGGTAAACGTCGAGGGGCCGAGAAACAATTGGGGAAACCCCGCGGCCTCGTTCACCATAAACGCGAATCCGCTCGCGCGCGTACCGGGACCCCTCATTCATTCCCGTGTGCCTCGCGTTTGTCGCACGCGCCTCTCCGGACTCGCCGTATTTTTCTCACGCGTCGCGCGCTCATCCGTCCTTCTCCATACGCGCGACCAGCCATTTTCCCCCGCCTCATTTGTACCACGTCCTCTTTTTAACCGCTCAAGTCCCGTCCCGCCCCGCCCGCCGCTTTGACATCCTTACGTCTTATCTTTCCGCAGCCACCGGCGATTCCGCGCGTATGCGCGGAAATTCTCTCCTCTCCGTCTGTCGCGCGCGCGTGCTCCGGCCTCGCTCCTTTGCGATTCCGCCGCCCCCCCCCCGGCCCTCCTTTGTACAGCGACGCTTTTATCTCTCCTTATCCTCATCGATACCACATCGCGCGCGCGTGTGTGTTTGCCTTCCCCTCCCCTCACGTCGTCTTTTTCTACTTCGCAGTGCCTGCATTATCTGTCCGGATGCGTCGCGTTCACCCGCCTCTGTGCCGCGAACCGAGGTCGCCCCGTCTCTCCGTTCCGCTGCACTCGTCTCTTTTTCGCTACTTGTAGCGCTCGTTACGTCACAGCCTCCGTTTCTCTCTCTCTCTTTTCCGAATGTGTCCCGACGTCAGGCTCTAACCGCGCCTCTCCTCCACGGCTCTCCCGTATCTACCGCTGCCTATCTTCGCGCTCGACACCGGGCCCCTCCTCGCGCCGGTTCTCCCCGCATCCCCTTTTCTACCGCTCGGACCGATATTTCGTCCGCCCTGCGCCGCTCGCCCCCCTCGCCCACCCGCAGTATCGCTGTCACTCCGCGTTGAGCTTTCAGAGTTTTCCGTCTGGATCTACTTGTCCCGGAATACGGCGCACATTTTCATCCGGTGTCCGGTTTCGTCCGCCGCGCAGGGCCGACCCCATTCGTCTCTTTCCACCCCGTTGTTTCTGGCTTATCGGGAGATGCTCGAAGGTGCGGCACACGCTTACCTTTCGCGTCACTTGTTTTTCGCGGCGCGATCGACTACCTTTTTTTTCGGACGCGTGTTGTGCAAGTGCAATCCAGCGGCGCGAACTTGGATTAATATAATGTGGAGCACGCCATTGCTAGAGGGCAATTACGCGCACCGCATATTGTGCGGCTGCGTGATAAAAAAAAATCTACCGTAGATAGATCCGCTCGATTGCGTAGCGAGTACGGCAAAAACAACCGAACTATTTCAGGCGCGTAGGAAAAAAAAAATAAATACCGCATCGCACTTTGGACCGTAACGTCGCGCGTTCCCGCGCGAGATCCCAACGTGAATACGAGCGCTCCATAAAAAAAAGAGAGAGAGAAAAAAAGAAAATAGCACTCCGCGGTAAGTGCTTTCTTGCGTGGGTGTGTAACTCCGGCGATCCTGCGAGAAGTTTGTAGAATCGTAAATGTAAATGGCAGCGAGAAAGTTTCTGGAGGACGGAGGAGAGCGGAATGGGGAATTAAAGGAAGTCGCTTCCGGTTGCGTTTTGCTTTTTGACTAATTAAAAAAGAGTACCTGCTCCGCCCATTCTTTAAACATGACAGTACGGAAGGCGAATGAATAAATTAACCGGCAAATAGAATCTCTCGTAGCCTGTGAGATGTAGATTCGCTTAATGTATTCTTCTTGGCAATTCAATTAATGTAAATAAATTACTTATAAATCAAACGTGTTTCCCCCCTCGATCCTTCCCGTATCGCGTATCTCGGGCGGTCTCGCCATAAATATGAGACTCATGTTTCGATAATCAAGATTTAAGATTCTACGTCGCGTCCATCGCACGCTCGTTTACGAGATGTATGTAATGCATCTCGCAAAAATTATGTATACCCAGAGAAAAAGTTTCTTTCGAATCAAATAAATTTCCTTCCAATTTTGACCTTACCAAGCTTTCATTTAATTTCAAAGAAATCGTTTCTTTACCTTAACCGAAAGTTTACTTGATCGAGGAATCTCTAAAAGAATTTGTATCTATTTCTTCAAATCTAGCAAATGTTTTAGCAGAAAAATTAAAATTACATACAAATAGAAAAACATTTCTTTAAAATTAAATAAATTTTCTTTGAATTTTGACCTTACTAGACTTTCACTTAATTTCAAAAAATTATTTCTTTACCTTAATCAAAATTATACTTGATCGAGACTGGAATCTCTAAGAGAACTCATTTCTTCAAATCTAGCAAATGTTTTAGTAGAAAAATTAAAATTACATACAACTAGAAAAAAGTTTCTTTGAAAGCGAATAAATCTTCGAATTTTGACTTCACTAGACTTTTATTTAATTTCAAAGAAATTATTTTTTTACCTTCAAATCTAGCAAATGTTTTAGTAGAAAAATTCAAATTACGTACACCTAGAAAGAAGTTTCTATAAAATTAAATAAATTTTCTTCGAATTTTTACCTTACTAGACTTTCACTTAATTTCAAAGAAATCATTTCTTTACCTTGACCAAAATTTTACTTCATTGAGACTGGAATCTCTAAGAGAGTTTATTTCTTCAAATCTATCAAATGTTTCAGCGGGAGTAAATAACAATTTAGTAGATTCAAAGAAACAGGATTTCAACGCATCCCATTTGTTCAGCCTAAATAAATCTTTCTTTCTGGGTGTATACGAAAGAGGAATGGCGATCTTTCTCGTCCGCGCGACGCGGACGCGGCGCATAATTTCTGCGGCCCCTCCGCAGCCCGCGTACGCGGAGCGACATTTAAAATCGTGCGCGCGGCGGGACGTGATCGCGATGAATTTTTCAGCGTGGCTCGGCTGCTTGCAAGTATTTTTTTTCGGGGCGCAAAGTATCCCGACGTATTAACGGCGTGACCTAGATTCCCCGGCAAATTGTGCGAGCACTTCGGGGTTTCTATGGCTATGCGTGTAATCCAACCCTAATCGGGAGCGACAAACTACGGGAGTAAATAATATTGTTTGCAAATCGACATTCGAAGCCCCGAGCGGCGACGTCGCTCGAACTTATAATTCGATCGACAGACCGCATTTGCGATACTGCAAACAAACTTGTTTGCCTCTTTCCACGCGCCGCGCGGAGGGATCGATCGATCATTCGCCCACGCGAGCTACGGCCGAAATCTCCCCTCCTGGGTGTAATCGAATATTTTACTGGCATAATAAATTTTGTTTTCGCGCAATACGCAAAACAGTCTCCGCGATGACGAGGGATCGCGTTATATTGACTGGGCGCGATAAGATCAGCTAATTTTTCACCCCGTTACCAAGTCGTTTATCATGGTTTCTCTTTATTTATATATCCGCGATCCCCTTTGTAATCAGGAAACGAGCCCCTGATCGAGAGAAATATCAGAGCTTTCTCCGTGACTCTCTCTCTCTCTCTCTCTCTCTCTCTCTCTCTCTCTCTCTCTCTGCAGAGAGAAAATGATTTCTTTGGACTTAATAAATTGTGTTGTCTCCAAACAAATTTGATATTTAAAATGGCCCAAATAAATCATTTGTTTGAATTCGATAAATAATATATATCTTCGTCTGAAATAAAATATTTGTTTAAAAGAATTATAAAGAATAGATTGGTAGATGATTAGACCTCGTCTGCTGATGCGGTCGTTTATATGTCTGGCCGCCGTGATTTGAAAGATATTACTTCAAATAATAGTATCTTAAATAGAAATTGTTTCGAATGAAACAACGAAATTTCTATTCAGACGAATAATGTTTCGTGCAAGCATATGTTGTCTCGATGAAACAAATTTCAATTAAACGAATAGAAATGCTAAATCCAAAGAAACCCTTTTCTCTGTGCAACGAAATTAAATACGCAAAATTTAATTAATCTTGTGCAAAGTAATCGAATATTTTGTTGCTGTAATAAATTTTGTTTTCGCGCAATATGCAAAATGGTCTCCTCGATGACGAGGGATCGCGTTGTATTGACTATAAGATAAGATCAGCTAATTTTTCACGCTGTCGCAAAGTCGTTTATCACGGTTTCTCTTTATTCATATATCCGCGATCCCCTTTGTAATCAGGAAACGAGCCCCAGATCGAGAGAAATATCCGAGCTTTCCCCGTGACTCTCTCTCTCTCTCTCTCTCTCTCTAACGAAACTAAATACGCAAAATTTAATTAATCTTGTGCAAAGTAATCGAATATTTTTAGTTGATAAAATAAATGTTGTTTTCGCGCAATATGCAAAATGGTCTCCTCGATGACGAGAGATCGCGTTGTATTGATTATAAGATAAGATCAGCTAATTTTTCACGCTGTCGCAAAGTCGTTTATCACGGTTTCTCTTTATTTATATATCCGTGATCCTTTGTAATCAGGAAACGAGTCCCTGATCGCGAGAGAAATATCAGAGCTTTCCCCCGTGGCTCTCTCTCTAACGAAACTAAATACGCAAGCTTTAATTAAGCTTGTGCAAAATAATGAATCCATCGGATGTTGACGAGATCGTTACGGGGACAGCAAAGAAAGTCCTTACCCTAAAACGCCGCCATCCTCCGTTGTAACCTTCCTCGTGATGTCTCCGACACTCGCTGCCTTCTCCGTCAGGCCTTCGTGCAGGATCGTCAGTTCTGGTCTGTCTGGCTGCGCGAGGCTGCCAATTTTGAAGGGAAATTGTTCTTGCTTCTGATCCTTGGCTAATCTCTTGGAGCCCTCGCTTCCGGTTCTGCTGAGCCGCTTATCTATGACGTCCTCGCCCGTCTCCGCGACCCCGTCGCCGTTGTCAGAGACCTTCGATAGATCCCAAAGTATCTCCGGCCTGAGATTTCTCACGGAGACTTTGCGATCCTCGTCGGAGCTGGGCCTGCCTTCCGCCAAAGTGCTCTCCGACGTCGATTTCGCCAAGGCGGGCAGCTGCAGCGACGAGACGTCGACGATTTCCGGCGACGGCGCCCGCGTCAGTTTCGTTCTAATCGTTTCTGGCACGAGGTACACTTCCGGCGGCGAGTGGATCTCGATTCTGGCGGCCGCCTCCTCGAAGCGAAGCGCCGACGCCTCTTCCGCCGTGATGATCCTGGCAGTCACCAGCTGGACCTCCGGCAGCAGATCGCTAACCTGTGACAATTAAGCGTTAAAATTAAATCGGCCGGAACAAAATACAGGGAATTGTTTGAGAGACCAACGATCCACCCACCTGATCGCTCGTATCGTCGAAGAAGATCTCCTGTACGTCCTCTTGAATCCTGACACCTTTTTTCTCCTCCAACAACGATTCCCTCGAGGACTCTCTGGAGAAGGAGTCTCTCCTTTTTCTCAACGAGCTCGGTCGTTTCGCGGGCGCCTGAGCTGCCGACTCGGGCTGCCGAACTTCTGAAACGGCTGCCGCGGCTCGCTCCAAAGTTGGCCGTTGTTTCCTGCCCTCCGGGAGACCCTTTGCGAGTTTTGAGCCTCCTAGAGAATCCTTCGTTTCCTCCACCACCTCGGATACACTTTTCAGGCTCTCCCTCCTCTTTGTAGACACGGCGGACGTTTCGATTGTCGTCGAGAGGCCCGCGCTCTCGTCTTCTTTACTAATAGCTGCTGGACGTTTGACTCGTTGCTCCAGTTGCTCGTCGACGACCTCGGGAACGGAGGGCTGGGCGGTTTCGAGGCCAACATTTACATCAGAATAAGACGGAATGCTGTGCCTCGTCAGGAATTCCGTCACCCTCTCGATGCATTCCTGCTCCTTCAGGCTCTTCCTCTCCTCCCTCGATCGCCGGTAAGTCTCCTCGCCTTTCCTCGCGGACTCCTCGCCCTCGGGTTTCCGCCTCGACGGATCCTCCTCCGCCTTCCGCTCGGTCTTGACCGACTTCTTCGATCGCTTCTTACCGTCCGCCTTCTCCGCGAAAATCTTCTTCTTCGCGCCCTTCTCCGACGACGTGTCCGACTTCTCCACCGTCTCCCTCGACGTGGACGTTCGCCCTTCGGATTCCGCGCTGCTGTGACGCTTCAGGTTCTTGCCGCGTTCCCGCTCCGCTTCTTCCACCGACCTCGTCATCGCGGTGACCCTGGACGCATCCTCCGCGCTCGAGGACGGCTCCTCTTGTACGGGTGGCACGCGATCCAACTCCAGGGACGACTGCTTCTTTAACTTCACCTTCGGCGCTACCTTCTCCATCCTCGCCGGCACGTCCTTGGTGTGCCTGGGTATCCTCGTCGTCTCCACGATTATCGTGCCGCCGTACGACACGATGCTCGTCTCCTCCCGCATCGTCTTGGACGTGGTGGGATAGAATTCGTGGATGATCTCGACGTCGTTGTCGACGTCGATGTATCGGGTCGGCGAGCGTTTGTCGCGATACAGCTTGGCGGGCCGCCTGGCCGGGCTGCAGATCGGCGTCACCGGAGAAGCGTCCTTCCACTGGTCCTCGTCCTCCTCCTCGTCCTCGTCGACCTCCGGTTTGTTCGTCGAGGCTTCGGTCAGTCCTGCGTACGGCGGAACACGCTCGTCAACTAGGTCTTCGGACGAAACGCACGACACACGATTTCTATCGAGGCTCGAAGGTGCACGAAGATCGTACCTTCCAATTGGTTGCCTTTGGCCAATTTTCCGACTTTTATCGGCTGTCGCGTCGACAACAATCGTATCTATTTTTACTATTTAAGCAGTCCGCGTCAAGGGATATCGCATGTTACCGCGCGATATATTAAAGCGCAGTGCGCTTTTGTACGTTATCTGTAAAGGAGGTCTAGTCTAATCGCGAGATCAAAATTGATGACGTTCGTACGTCGGACGTGAATGGTAATGGCAAATTGCCACGTTACATACAGATATACATATATCTTCGTGCATACGGCGCAAAGGGAGATTCCGCCGCTGTCAGACAAAGAAAGGCGAGCTCGTATAGAAATCACGATAGTACGTTTCGCGAAACAAGGCGCGACATATCCTCGTTCCGGAACAATAGGAATATATGAAACTGGCTAGAATGTAGTCGAAATGTACTCGTCATTGAATGGAACGTGATTTATACGACTCGCTCTTGGGACGCGATGCGGAACGAGATCGATAAAAAAAAAATGCACGGGCGAAGTTGCAAGAGGTATCGCTTTTTACCGACAAATTAATATTTCCCGAGTAAAATTGCAATGCTTTTTACGACGGGGCACTCAAGGATCCGCGATCAAACTTCTGCCGACGAATAAAAGACGAAGGTATAGAAAAAAAGTCCTCTGTTATGAGACAGCAGGTTTTCAATCGCAAATCTTCAGATTTTTTTCGCAACGATCACACAATCTGGCAATGAATTTTCCACCGAACGGACTTCGCTGCAATAAATTCACGGTGGAATCAACCGGCGACCCCCTTTTTGTCCCGTGTTAGAATCTTATCTCATAATAGGGGACTCTCCTCTATACACGCCAGTTATCACGAAAATGTAAAATCCGTCGATCCCGTCGCAGCCAATTGCGAACTTTCGGCTCGCGTGTTTTACAAAAGTGCGCGCACAGAATGAAGAAAGTGTACCTGATCTCGAGGAGAGCAGGTCTTCAAGCTCGGCCACATGGTCGGTCGTCTCGCTCTCGTTGGGGAAACTTTTGCTCCGTTTGATCTTCGGTGTTACCCTCTGCTACGGAATCGAGCAGCGCGGGAAACGGGCAAAAGAGACAGGAGTTAGATCATTAGTGCATCGTCGACAATTACCGTTCTGAGATTTCGCATTAAAGTTTACGGGACCTGGCGCGCGTAAGGGTGGGAAGAGGCTACAATTTGGCAGGGAGGGGGAGGGGGGGTGCAATTACAACTGGAAGCTGTAAGCGGGAATTGGTGGATTTGAAAAGGAGCACAGGCTCTGTTGATTTACCATACGGAATTACTGACACAATCGTCACGTGAAAAAGGACCACAAACCATGGTCGAAACACTGTGCGTTTAAACGTAACAATTTGCCAGACATGGCCGGATAATCTTCTGAAGTTCTTAATTGCTCCCGGCGACTTGGAAGATTTCCTCCAGTCATTTAGTTGGAATTTTAATCACAGTTCCGAACATCGCGATAATTTGCCGAAGGAACTGCGCACAGGTCTTCGGTATCTCGGTGGAGATGTCAGGCGCGTGGTAATACAGTTGACGCGGAATTTCAATTGACGCGGCCGTGATTGGTGTTGAAACAGCGTAATTTCATTTGTATGCATTTGAGCTGCATTAATATGTTAATCAGATCGCGCGTGCATGCATTTTCGCGAATTCTGATCTATGCGGAGATAAGTCTGGGGCGAGCGCGCCGCGTATTCAGATTTAAATTGCATTAGAGAATAGGTACTTTGGAAACGTGCTACGGTAAACGTGTGTTCAAATGCAAATAATGCGGCAAATACAGCGGGATCGTGGCGATGGGAATCGATATTCCGTGTGCACTTGTGGCGTACACTCGCCCAAGACCTCAACAAGCTTCCCGGGAGGAAAAATAAGACGAATCGTCGTGGCGTATACGTAGACGCGAGCGTTACTCAACTACAGATACGCCTCGTAATCTTTTCGCTATCGCGATAATCCACTTAAGGGAATAATTCTGTACAAATAGGATTATCTAGAAATCCGCGAACGCCTACGATACAATGTATGGTACAATCGAAAAATGTTTTCTGTTCCAGAAAGGAGAAGCTGCTCATTGAATATAAATATAGAGGAAAGTGTCCTATTATGAGATAAACTGTTAATATGAGATAGCGGAGTTTCTGCTAAATTAATAGGCATCGTATGAATCTATTGCCCTTTGAGTGAAAACCGTTTGGTGGAAAATTCATTGTTAGATCGTGGGATCGTTGCGAAAAAAGAGATTTGTGAGTGAATTTGGACGTTGAAAACCTACTATCTCACATTAGAATCCTATCTTATAATAGAGGACTTTCCTCTATACATGTACATATATATATTGTTTGCGGTCGTTTTTCGTGCCGATTTGAAATCAACTATTCTTCTACTCCACTGCTCGATCTGTCAATCGATCGTGTTGCGTGGCTGCGTTCAGCGGAGAAAGTTGCTTTCTGCCGATCGGATTATACTTTTAGATCTCTGTGCCGTGACAGAATTCCTCTAGATCTAAAGATATAATAATCCATAATAATAATAATAGATATGTATCTTCGTGGAGCTAAACACCGTAGCATTTAAACGCCGCTTTAATTACTTTGGGGGCATGAAAAATAACGGGCCACGACTAGACGTAAGATTTGATCTTGCAGGCAACCTTCCTGATTGTGAACCATCCATGCTCACACACGATACGCTTGTCCACTTAATTTTATAGATACTTTATGTGTAATATCATAGAATTATTGTAATATATATATATAATGTTATTGAAATTCTATGCAAAATTTTATGATCATAAAATTCGATATTAAAAGTATACTTACTCGATAACTCTAGAATTATTATAAGCACTGTAAAATTTTAATTTTATGCGCATAAAACTAAAATGCATATATATATGTAGAGAAAAATTAATGTGTATATCTTGTTTACTTTAATTCGTCTTTATGATAAAACGTTAAATGAATAGGAAAGCAATATCTTGTTATCTACGGCTGATTGTAGAAAATCAAAGTTCGAGTAAACAAGTTAAATATCTTTATCCACGTGTGTCATTTATATGCCTATAAACAATTATATCGTTCGTGCAGAAAAGCAGATTTCAGCTTTTCGATATGCGTTTAATCGTTACGTAACGCCACCGAGCTATTCGTCGCTCGATTCACTTCTTTCGAGCCATTCGAGTAATTCGATCGACGTATCAAATGACGATTAATCCGCTCGAATGGCAAAGGAATTAGTCGACATTCTCCAATCGTGCGAATAAAGCGACGAAAACCCGGATAAAAGTCGTTACGCAGAAGCGTTTAAATCGAGAGACGGAATTCGCTGCGCTTGCTTGAAAATGGATTAGTTTCCTGGCGCGGCTTGACAAGTTTTCATTTGCCAGTTGCACTATGTAAAACATACTTAAACAATATCGTCTACAGGAGCGAGCAACCTACCGGAAAGAAATGTAGAGACTTACCTATAGAAACTTGATACATTTTATCACGAGATTCTCATCCAATTCATGCAGTTTGCGATACGTCGCTAACAATGACGGATTCGTGTTGGGTACCAGTTGCATTACGGAACATCCATATTATTTCAATAGCCTACTCCTTACGAAAATAATAATTCTCGTAGTATACGACGGGACTGTCGATCCACCGATAGATAAACTTGCGCAAATCAATTCGAAACCATGCAACGAAATTATTTATCAGGTAAATAGACTTCGGGAGCTCGGCTTCGATTCCACGTCACAGAAAGAAATCGAATATATTCATAAGGGTTTGCGGCTGGCATTACGGCGAGATGCGGCAGTGTCGAGAAACAAAATCGGTCGAAATCGGCGAGAAGTGCTGCAAGAATAATTCACATAATGTCTGGCGAATATTTCGTATCAACTCTCTTTCGTATCGTTTGTGTGCGCTCAGTATATTTCTATATTTCTGATAAAATGTAACAAAGTTAGTGATACAATTTCATAACGATCGTGAATTTTGCGTACATCAAGAGTGGCAAGGAGCTGAAGGAAGAAATTACAAAATCGTCGTCGTTTAAGAACACGCTCGATTCAAGTTGGTATAAGAATTTCCTTACGCAACAAATCAGAACACCCCATCGCTGCGAAAGATCGAAGGAACACGCCGATAAGACATCGGCCGTGTTAATTAATACGCATAATTAATTGGTAAGCTGATATCGAGAGGGGGAAGTCCCGGATAAACGGAAGGGCGGGACGTGCCGATATTTTTCCCCTCCTTCTCTTCCTTCGATTTCGCGCCGTTCAACTCGCAATTGCGCCCAGGTTACGCTCCTTGCTCTTTCGGATTAATAATGTTATCATTAAAATTGTTATGGGCATAAACGAGGACATAGTGCTGAATCATGGTAACTTTTATTTTCTATTTCTCTTTGGGTTTTTTTTTGGTCGATAACTGCAGTAAAGGTATAACTCGCACGGGAAACGCATCCGCCTCGGCGTTTATGCCTCGCTCTGAAAAATGAAAAAGACACGTCATCATTAGAGAGATATGTATGCACGTGTGCGTGCGTGTGTGAGTGTCTGCGTGTGTGTGCGGCGTTTGGATAATTACGTGTGACTTATGGTACGTTCGACAATAGATTTTCACCACGCCGCATTCTCGCTAAACTCTACGAAGCGTGCCAACGCGACTACAGCTTGTTTTTAAGTTTTCATCTTTCCTGTGGTATATGCATAAAATGAAGCAAATGCTCGTCTTCGGAGAAATGGGGAAAAGTGTACACAGAAAGCGTTGCTAAGAAAAAAAGGACAAATTTGATCTTACGTGCACTCATTATGTTACAGAAAACGCACGATGGGAACAGAGGGAATTATTTATGCATTTGTATTAGAAATATATATATCTATTATATATACATGTTTCAGATATGTTAATCATATACATATATTTTTTAAATATTTTATATAGAACGTTTTATGCGTTTGTAAGAATATTATGCTTGTAAAAGTGATTAGAAAATGATAATAAAAGTCACGTGGAAAGGATGTCGGAGATGTCATTCAATCGTGCCAAAAATAAAAGTTGCATTTTCACATATTTTTGTGTCGCACATATGAAGATTGAAAAAGAATATAAGAATTCTAAAAGAAACTAAGGAACGCGTTTTATCCGTCAATTACGATAGTATCGCATCTTTTGCGAAGTCCCGCGAAACATTTAACGTCCAACGGGCGTGGGGCAATTTTTTTTCCCCGCTCTCCTCTGTGGAGAATAAGTTCATATTTCAGAAAGGGAAATACGCGCGCGATGTATCTCGTGGTTGGATCGAGCCTCGTTTGCCCAGCGAACGAGTCAAACTGTTCGTAACAGAGAGCCGGCGAAATTTTTCTTGCGGTAATAAGAATAACAGCGCGGAAGATACTCGAGCGCGGGATGAAGGACGTCATGATAAATGCACCTGGCGCAGGTGCCCGATAAGAACAAAACGACTTACGTAATTGTGCCGCCGTATGCTCTGTGGAACGTGCAAAGAATCGTGTCTTCGCGTAATCGCGAAGTCTTGACGGAGGAAGCGCGAGAGGTTTGCGCAAATACTTCTCCTGCGGGGAGGGTTTTTTTTTCTTTTAAGAACGAAGAAGGGACGAGTACGTCAACTTTGGGAGGCACGTATTTCGTGCAATCTCAGAATGCTCTATATTCACTGCAATTAATTACGACGTGCATTTTCGCAGCGTCGTTAACGCGAGTCAACGATAACCGATCTATTCTCCGATTTCAACGCTTTCCTCTTCGGATCCCAACCGAATTAATACAATCGTCTAATTGCCGTTACTCTACGTCGCTCTACCCAAATTAATTTTTAACTTTTCACACCGTCGAGGAGTAAGTCTCCGACGAAGCGCTCTTCGCTTACCGCGAGCTTATGTCGCATTTCTCGGGGGGGGGGGGGAGGAAAACGTGGATCTCTCTGTTCACGCGACAGTTAATTTAGCAGAAAGTGCTTTGCCGGTTAAATATTTACGAGTCGTCTGTCAACTCTAGACTACGATTGTGTAACATCTCAGCAGCGCGCGAGCACCGATAGAAGTTGACGTTTAATATTAAAATATTTAGCCTGCTTTGAAGCCAAGGGGGTGTTGCGAGCATGCTGCGACACGCGACAGACAGATCTCTAAGGAGGCGACTCGTCTTGCTTTGTCTTCCCATTAAATTGTGCGGAACTGCCATTCTATAGCAAGCATTTGCGGGAGTAGCGATTGCGACTGTCAAGTAGATCCCGCACGAACGGCGAGGGGAGTACCGGAGGAGGGAAAAACGTCTTATCGCGCATCCCCGAGATCCGAGATTGCATTCTGCACGCGCGCCAGCGGGGGAAACTTTCGGTGGATTATCGTTGCTTTTACCGTCGCAGGAAAACTTTTTATGCGTATGTGCTGATCGGGGAAGAGAATCCCGCGGCAATGTTTGTTGCAGCTTGCGCAAATGAAGCTCGTAACAGGCGCTATGCACAGAGCGGAGAGAAAGGGGTGTGGAGAGTAACAACAGCGATAACGACAGCGACACCGGCGGTGGAAACGATAAAAGAAAATGGCAATGGCAATGAGAAAACGGTGATAGAATCATACAAGGGCAGTAAAATGACAACAGTGAGCGCGTGTGACAACAGTAACGGTAGTTCAGTAAACGACAGCAATAAGGATTGATAATCGTGACTCCCGCGTGCCTCCGAGGACTCGGCTTTAAAGATAATAACAAGAGCTTCACGTTTCTAAGCGGTGAAGAAATAAGGAAGCCTGGAGGAGAATCGATTTATTACGTAACTTGCGGCTCAGATATCCCAGCGGCTGCCATCGCGGCTTATGTACCATCCGTTTCGCCCGTTCGAAGTAGTTCGAGTATCGGGAAGGCGGTCGGAAGAGTTCAGGTATAAACAGGTTGCGAGTAAGTAGTAAACGTACGTATCGATCCCCACACGAGCCTCTTGATAATAGTGAAGAAAGGTGCCAGTGAGTAGACAGTAGTGGAATGGTAGTAGAGCTCTACAAAAAGGCGAAAAGTTTGACATACGAGCTTGCTTGAGAGATCGCTTGGAAAATTAAAAAAAAAAGAAGAAGAAGAACAGGTCGCTTAAAGAGATCCTGTGAGACAGTGAAAGAAAAATGCGACACAATCAGAAGGAAAAAAAAAGAGAAAAAAAAGTCACAGAATTAACGAGAGACTTAATATCGTTCAACTTGTACTTGATCTTTTACTTGCCTCGTTAATGTTCTCACGATATATTTCTCATTGTCTTTTCTTTTCCCCTCTTTTCACTCTCTCTCTTTCGTCTCTTTTTTTTTTAACGTTCTCTCACCCGGGCTACTTTGCCGCCGGTTCGAATCATTCTTTCTCACGCGCTTTCCCTCTCGTTCACTCTCTACCTTCCTCTTTTCCTTCTAGCTTATTTTTGCCTTTGTATCTCAACTTCTCGCTCTCTCACCCTCCCCATTCATATTTCGCATTCACATATTTGCTATTCGCTTGTCTCGAATGTCAACTATCTATCTTTTAAGAAACTACTTTATCTATACGTGTCTTTCACTCTCTCTCGCTCTCATTCTCGCCCGACTGCAAAGAGACAAATGGCAAAAAATGTAACATACTGCAAAGAAATTATAATTTCTCAAAACGAACTTGCAGCTTGCTAAACAAAGATCACTAGTACGATCGTGTGTGTTCGTGAGTTCGAAAGAATTTTGGAAGTATGTGAGAGAAGTCAGTCGAATGCAATAAAGTTGTTTTGTTCAGCTACTCTACCAGGCAACTTTCATTCACTATTACAATCGTTTTGTTCTGTACTTACTTAGTTTGTGCGATGGTCGGCAATATAAACCCCATCCGCGGTAAACACCGAGCGCTATTACCGAAAAAAATCTCTCTTTCGCACCCATCTCTCATTCTTTCCCCCCCTCTCTCTCTCTCTCTCGCTTTCTCTCTTTTTTGTACCGCATCTTTAGCGTTTCTCAGGCTATTTTTTCCTGGCACCGACTACGCAGCGCCGAAAAATATTCGTACACTTCTCACGTTCTCGCCGAACGTCCGACCTTTCATTTCTCTTTCCCCTGTTTCCTCCTTTTCCCGACTGACCACCGCTAAGAAGTACAAGGCTCATCGAAAGTTTACTGGATATCGTGACGGAATTATATTGTATAGGAGCAGAGTATAAGGATTGTCAGTTATGCTGGCCAAAATGGACCGATTCGTTTGAGACAACTGTCTTATATAATAATATGTAAGAAATATTAAAGCTGCGTAAGATCTTCCGATCGTTCTTTCAATTCGGTTCCTTACGTCGAGATTACAAGGATGATTTGGCAATGTCAAGATGCATACATAATTGGCATTACATTTCAAATCCTAGAACCTAAGAGAAACGTGCTCGACACACTTGCTTCGCCAATGTACAAATTGCAATTCCGCAATAAGACAACTTTTGTTAAATCGATGTCGAGCGTTTTCTCTTTCTATCCCAGATATATCCATGAAATACGACAAATATGCGTATACATATATACATGTATTATGGCAATTGTTATCACTTTAACACACTTTAACACAATTCCAATCCTGCTCCGCAATTCGATGAACGAATCACGCGCGCGGGGATTTCCAGAATCGGCGAAATCTCCCCGTCGCTTTATTTTCTCCGTGCGAGAGGCGAGTTGTGCTTAAACCTCGCGATGAGGCTCGCTTAATCCCACGACGTGGGCCGCATCCCGAGGGAGATTCCGCGCGTGATTCCCCCGGCCGGGAGTCAAATGAAACCAAGCGAGAATAGGTCTGTCAAAATACGGCCGGTCGGCTGGTATATCTCGTCCGAAGGTATCGCATAAATCATTCAAAACGCCTGGCCGCGCCCCGGAATAAACGCCGAGGGCCGCCTCGTAAAGTGTATCAGGGCTCCGCCGTACTTATACCGGCCGTCTTTATGGATGTTCCGGTTTGCAACGGTACGAACGCGGCACGGAAGAACCACATAGGCACATTACAATGTCAAATATAAATATACTATTAGAAAATGAGGAGTGTTACCGCGCGGGTAAACGAGCTGAAATGAAAAGCAAACGATTAAAATCATGACGTAACAAGCACAGGTGACGAACGCATAAAGAACTGGGATGGATGGAGAACGGGGCGGTGCGGGGGATGATGAACGAAATAAAGTAACACATAACGATAACTTAACACTATCGGTGCGCATGCATACCGTAAAATTTTATTTACTTAGAATCCTATCGGCCTAAGCTGCGATTTTCTTCTTTTCAGTTAACCACCGATCAAGCAACTTTTATTCATTACGTTTGACCCGTCTCGCTTCTTTCGCAAGTGGACACGCTGCCACGTTGCGCTAGCACCTATGGATAAAATACTCGCGAAAGCTCTTTAAACGGGACATGGCTGTCGACCATTGGCACAGCGTGGATAAATAATCTTTTATGCGAGTGCCAGAGGCAACACGCCGTAATTACAGAATAAAAACTTAATGGTAATGGCGAGGAATACAATGCAAAATGATCTGAAACATATAAATCAACACAGTTCGGGATGCAAAAGCACATTGAACGGGGTCCTGGTGCATCGCCGTGGGTGAATACTGGTGCATATTGCCTTGAAAAATTCGACAAGTTAAAATTGCCCCGACAACAAATACGTAACAACGTGTATTCGAAATAAACCACAAGTGTATCTCGCAATTCGCTAAAAATCAATATATAAAACTGTGTACAAATAATCTAAAACAAAAAATCAGTCATTGCGTATATAAATATAATTTGCATATCTATAAGGAAAAGGGTAACGTAAGAGTATCTGCCATGAAGTAGTAGTACTTGGCCTACAAATATGAGATGACGACAGACTTAACACAAATGGACTACGTCATGCAGGTTTATAAGTAATTTTTGCGGATTACCATAGCTCTAAAAGTTACCAACACAATCCAATATTCAATATATTATTCCGTATGCTAAATTTATGCTTTGGTGTCTTGTAAAACAGTTGCACGTAAGTGGCAAGTGTTAAAGTATCCTTTAACGTAATGCCGATGCCAAAAATTATTCTCTCCAAATTTTCGCTCTGCCAATTTCACCAAACGACGAACTTGTGCGTGCGCGTGAAAACAAACGAGGAGAAAACCAACATGTACAGAGCGGGCGACTGACAGACAGTTCTGCAAATTTTTATGATTTCTACCACAGAAAATGGAACACAGTGTTTCATGCTCGGTATATTATTCGACGACACTCACAAATGTATGGCTGTCGTATTTAGTATATATGTATGGAATGCAGGGACGGTTACTTCACTTGTATGGACGGAATCTCGTTAGAAAATATGCATTTAGATTTGTGCGCACGTTACGTTCTGTTTCGACGAGGGAATGTTCAATCAACGAGAGAATGTTAAATCCGCTCGTGATCTTTGCAAGCGCAGTGATCGAATGCGGTTAGCTGAACTGAGGATAATTCGATTGCACGTTAACTCCGGCCGTGCGCCGCCGACCGTCTCGAAGACACGCGAACCGCGGTGAAATTTAGCAGAGGCAAGAGCCTTGAGTCTACTGGTCCGATCAGAGCGACCTAATTAAAAACTTTCGGATTTGACGAGGTTGTGCTGATGCTTCAGGCCCTCGATCAGATCCATGTGCGGCGGCTCGGTCACGTTAATCTTACGCTCGCGGAAATATTCCCGTCTCTGTTTATGGCTATCCACGATTGAGGAAGCGGTTGCCGCCTCGGTGTCTCTATCTCTCGTAGCCTCGGCCCGGTCGTCCTGATCGCTCACCTGGACAATACTGTCTGGTATTGGCAGCGGCTTGGCCACGCCGATGCGAACGGTCCCCTTCGGGGCGCCTTTGAGGGCCTGCACGGCCTGGTCCAGTGTTGCGTTCTCTAATCCGATGTCATTCACAAACAGAAGCCGATCGCCCGGTATTAACTGCCCGTCGACCTGTGCCACCCCGCCGGGCACGAGCGATCGTATTACTATCACAGTTTCGTTGGGGTTCATTGGATCCTAAAAAGCGTAGACGAGCGGGAAAAGAAAAACAGGTCGAACAGGTTACTGCAGATTCTCATCGAGATCGCGGAGAACCACGCGTACTACGGAAAAAGACGTTCGCACCTGATAATCCAAAATGGAGAACCCAAGGCCCCTCTCTCCTTTAACCAATTCGATAATTTGCGGTTCGGAACTCCACATCGCCAGACCGGTTAGCGGTTCCAACGAGCGCGACTTCATTTTATTTAGACTCGCGTCCGTCACCGTAGCTGTGGTCGTCGTCGAAGCCAAGGAACCGTCCGACTTTGCTTTCACAAGGCGATCCATCGTGGGCAACAAGTTTTGCAGAGACCCACCGAGGATGCTCTACGAGGATAACACAGATAGTCGCGCTAGCTTCTTAAAGCGCCACTTAAACGTTCCAACCGCGCGACGTCACGGGCACACAGTATACTCACTCTAGTCTGGAAAGCGGCCTGGTGCTGAGCGGTGTCGATGGGACAAAGTGGATCCTGCGAGGCGATGTTTCTTCCGCAAACCATACGAACGTGTATAGGCAACTCTTTCAGCACGCTAACCACTTCCATATGATTGATGCCCAATAAACGGTAGCCGTTTACCTTCAAGAGAGCACGGTATCGATTTCAGCCAAGTTGCTCGTGAAAGTGGACCGTTTTATCGGAGCACTTTTCAACGGAGGATACTATAGACACTGAAAGTTTCACGGAAAAGATATGGAAATTCGATAACCTCTAGTAACTCGTCGCCGGAGCGCAGCGTGCCGTTCTGTCCGACGGGGCCCTCCGGTAGAATCGAACGTATATAGTGATGAGGCCTTACTTCCTGGCCGTTCTCCACGTCGACCGTCCCCTCTAAGCTAATCCCGAGGCCGCTACCTTCGGCGAACTTCTTCAGCTGTGCGACCTATACAGACGAAAAAGAAAGGGATATTCTTCCTCCGCTCTTTCTCCGCGCTCTTATCCTACGAGATTGCGGCACTTACCACTATCTCGGTGTCGGGCCCGACGATCTTCTGCCATTTCGCCTTGATTGCTGCGCGAATTTGAGGCGTTAGCTCGCTCGACGGGTCGCTCAATAGAGCCTCGACGTTGCTCGCTCCGTCCTGGTCGTCGGACGTTCGTAAACCTTCCTGCAGAATCGCGCTGTCCACGGTAGTATGGGATTCACCTTCCGGCTCGATTTCGGTGGTAGTCTCCCCATCCTGGGAAAACGCGCGGATACAAATGCAATAATTGCAGTGATGCGCGAATAATAATTAAAACGTATACAATTTTCAAGTTTATAATTGGGAAATTTTCCAATACGCGGCATCAGATAAAAAGTTAAATACGAGTATGCAAAGCATGTATGTAGAACTACAGAGCGCACAATGGGGCAGCAAAGCGATATTTAATTAATGCAAAGGTACACTGCACCCTTCTCCGTTCAATTTTTTTTTTATTTATTAAACGGCTACGACTAATTGTTAATTAAACGTACCGCGCTCATGGGGAAACTAGGTAGGCTCGTTATCGATGGTGAGCTCGGCTGAGGTAATCTCAACTCGTCCGCGGCTATCGCTTGCTGGAGCTGCTCGAACTTTGGTCCACGGTGGTATCGCTCCAAGCATAGGGTCACCGTTTGCCCCGTGCGTTTTAACACTTCAACGGCCTCGTGATTAGTGTAGCCCTGCAGGGAGTGCCCGTCGACCTCCACTATTCGATCGTAAATCTGAATCTTCTTGCTCAGATGGGCCGCGCTACCCTCGCTAATGCTCTTAACGAAGATACCAGAGAGTTCCTCTGCAAGGGAGAATGAAAAGTTGTCATCGAGATCCCGGGATATGCATCATCGGTTCGTCCGCATCGATAGCGGTACTCGGCCGCGCGCTTCGTACGCGCAATTCTTTACAACGACTTTGGCATGCTCTTAAAACGTCAAAGGCACCCGATGGATATTTTCCCCCGCGGCGTCCGGCCACCGTTACCTTCTTCGCAAATGTATCCAGCGATAGTGATCCCGAGGCCGTAAGCGTCCTTCGTGAGATCGACCTCGAAGCGCTCCATCTCTGGCAGTGAATTAATGTCGAGGGGCTCCATGGTGAGCACCGGGAGATTCTGGAGCTGCACCGGAAGTGGCACCGCCGGTATAACTGGCATCGCTCCAATTGGCATTGGGTTGCGTACCACGTCCATGATGAGACCGGGTCTTGCCTGAAGGCAGAGAAAGAGAGGCCATTTTTTTTCCCTCTTCGTGTCGCGGTTTTCTCGATAGCGAGGACATGACGCCGAGCGTGGGAAAACCGAGGGGTGGGAAAGTGGGCCGCGTCGGTGAACGCCAAGAAGAGGAGATACGACACCGCCGTCTCCGGCGCGGACACTCACGTGCATTTCAATGTCGGACTCCTGCGAGTACATGTAGCCGTTGTCGTAGCTGGTGTCGCCCCTCTGCACGTGCCGCATGTTGTAGCTCTCCGGCACGCTGTGCACCAGATGTCTGTCCAGCTCGTCCGGATCCCCCAGGATTTTCGTGGGTACGATCGGGGCGTGACTTCCGAGAGCCTGCAAGCAGCACCCGGGAACGTGAAATTTTATGCGTCCCGAATCGCCTACGGCCTTTATAGAGACGAGCGTGCGACGAGCGTGTTTTCCGGGATTTCGAATTTCCAACCGTGTGGAAATTTCAATCTATCCGAGTAAATAAAAATGTTAACCGCGCCCTCTCCCCGGTTTCCTCCCCCGCGGCGAGCCCCGTAGAATTTCTCGCGGAGATTACGGCGCATTGTGCGTGGAATAACAATTACGCGTCTGCGAGCGCTCGCACGCGGTCGCCCGGGCGGCGTACAGCCGCGTCCATTTTATTCTTGTAACGAAAAGCAAACTTCATCGAGAAGAGTAAATCCAAATATAAAGTTCCCTATTTGTGAGATGGGACCCTAATATGGGATAGCGGGGTTCCTGCTAAATCAATAGACGTCATCTGCTGGTCCCGCCATGAATTTATTGCCCTTGGAGTGAAATCTGTTTAGTGGAAAATTCATTGTTCGATGTAATCGTTGCGAGAAAAGATTGAATTTGGACGTTGAAAACCTCTCAGATAGCACACACGTCTGAAAGAAATCTTTAAGACGGCGTTAAGTTGTCTTTTAGATATGTATGTCGAAAAAGTGTCTTGTCTTAACGATATCTTTGTGACGTCCTTTAGACATGCATTACTATCTGGGCTACTATCTCACATTAGAATCCTCTCTCACAATAGAGGACTTTCTGTGTATATATATAATAGTTTACTGTCGGACTGAGGTATACGGTTTCCGACGATTTTTACGGTCAATTGAAAACGACAGGATCGCGTGCAATGCGCGCCACTGGTTCGCGAAGCATAATTTTTTATGTCCTTCCTTTTTATTTTTGTCAGGGGTGTCAGAGATTATGTCACGCGGATTTTACCTCGGGCCGCGACAGGTCTCGAGGGAATTTCGCCGGACCTCAACAAGTGATATTTACAAGTCGACAAGCAGCGGAGGACGGCTCGTTGCAACCCTTTCGGGGGTGAAAAAAATATATTCCACGGAGGGGATTCCTGTTCCGCGGCTGGTGGCAGCGCCCGGCTGTTTAATATTCGCGCGGGGAACGACGGCCGGAATTATACGCGGAGCCGGGAATATAAATATCGATCAAACGCGATGAAAATTGAAAGCCTACGAGGGAAAACCGGAGCGTTACAGGGGAGTCGAGTGCGCTTCGGCGTTTTTCTCCCTTTCTCTCCAATTTTTTTTTCCTACTTGACCTCACCGAATAATAAAAGATACTTTATTTCCGCGAGCGTGCCCGCGTTCAACGTTGAATTATTACAGAGGCCGGGGCCAACGGTGTCCGAAAGTTAATTTATTAAAGCCCGCCAAGTCGTTTTGCTATTTCGCTTAACGCGCCCGTTATTTACGCCACTCCACCCTTGAAACGGGGGCGACGAGAGAGCGAGTGGTTTGTAGCGAAAGATAAACTCGGCTTCGCGCGGGCGGCTCGCCGTCGCCTGCGCCACCCCGGCTTTAATCCAGCGGCGAGGTAATTTCCATCTTCCGCGATCCCGAGACGTACGCGGCAAGTCCCCGCAGTCCGTTCTTCTCTATAATGGAACCTCCGTCACCTCGTGAAATACCCCATGCATTATTCATAATCCCCGAATTACAGTCGGTCCTCGGCCACCGCGGCCACCGTATAATTGCCCCGCGAATCGCGACGCGCCGCTCCTCCTCGCGGCCGACCATCCGCCGTGGCTCTCCGAAGCACGGGAGATCGCGGGACGCTCGCCTGGACCGGCGATATCGATCGCGTTGCGGTCGACAGATCAGTAATGTATCGTCCTAATGGCTCGCAGTTTAGCGGAATTTCGTGCGTGAATCTCCCGGCCCGGAGCGACTGCCCTCGCTCGCGGTAGTCAATAAGGAGGCCCCCGACAATGACGTACGCCGGCCGTACCCAGCACCATCAATCTCCAAACCCGACGCATCCCTAAGCCCTCGGCATCGGAATCTGATGGCTCGCATCGCGCACCTAACTCGGCTACTTTAAATATGCACCTCCGCGGAACGCGGACATGCCCCGCGTTCTAATTTGCGCAAGCTAGACAAATGGACCGGGCTTTAAGCGATTATCCTCGCTTCTGCCGCGAGCGGGTTCTCGCGCGGGGTCTGATGGAAAAAGAATTGCAGCTTGTCTTTAAAAATGTATTGGATATTGCCGGCGAATAGTAATTGCACGTCGCTGGAGTCAGGAAATGCTGTTGGGCTTCGCGCGCGCAAAAATGAAACCAGAGACTTTATCTTCTTTAAAAAAAAAAATTGTCGTTACTGATTGAAACAGATGTAACGAATATAAGTCGAAAGAGCGGGTCTATATTTACAATTGCACGAGGTCTCGATGCGTTCCACGTATTTCCGAATATTCAAGAAAGAAGGTAACAAACCAAAGAGGGTGAGAGCGTTGAAGACAACGTAATTGGCGGATTATTGAAGCTATCCTGTAACGCTTGCCCCCACAATTTGCTCGGAACAAATAAAGCGATATCGCGCGCAATTAATCGCGATCGCACGCGCGAAATTGCGGAAGCGAAGATACCTGATAATCCGGAGAAGTTGGCTCCACAGGTCGCGCGACGACCAGCCGCACGTGGGTGCCCGACTGCCGTAAAACCGCGGCAACTTGTTCGCTTCCCATCCCACGGAGATTGACATCGCCGATCTGCAATATGTGGTCCCCGCTCTGGAGTCGATTATCCTGCGGGCAAACAATGCGAGGAGGAGCGTTTAATTTCCGCGGCTGCTGTCCGGAGGGCAAACGTTGACGTCCCGGATCATTCTCGTCGGCGCGCGCGCTTCTCATTTCCCCGTCCGTTTCCAAGCAGCTCGGGTACGAGACGCGCGTTTCATGTAATACCCCGATCTATCTCCGATAGGGCACCAACTCTGTAACCCGCGCTACGGACCGCCCGCGTGTGCGTTATAATAAAGCGCGAAAGTTCGAGGGAAAGAGAATAAGAGCGCGGAAGGCGCACGCGACGCGACCGTATGATTAAGTGGGCAACTTATCAGAAGTTAAACCTATGATTAACGACGGGATTTACTTGTTAAGAGTCAAGTCTCGCGATAAACGTAAAATATCGAATTATCAAGATATAATTCATATTGGCAATATCGTACGCGCGGAAACGTGGAATTACGGGCAATTACGTCGCTGAAAACGTGATACTTTGAGAATTAATCAGCGTCCACGAGGAATTTAGATGCCCCCAAACGGGAGGGAATATATGGTAAGCTCTCGGTTTACTTACGCGATCGGCAACGCCTCCTGGAAGAATGGTCTTGACGACGACGCCGGTGCTGCGTCCGCCGATGATGCCGAATCCAAGACCGCTGCCATCGTTGATGAGATTTATCACTTCAACTTGAGCCCATTCCGTATTCAACTGCGAAATGATCGCAAAAGCGTCTTAACGTCTCGCTCTTTGTTATGGGGCTTTAACTTAATAATAGAGGGAAGTCTCCTATTACGAGATAGGATTCTAATATGGGATAGCGGGGTTTCCGTTAAATTAATAGACGTCGTCGGCCGATTGCACCATGAATTTGTTGCCCTCGCAGCGAAATCTGCACGTGAAAAAAAAGTGTAGCTGCTTGTAGCTAAAAACTGCATGTGGCAACTAAATTTCAGTTGTAAAGTATGGGCGGCTAATATAGTATTTAGTTGTGATAGCTAATACTTTGCTACTCTGCCTCTTATATTAGGTGCAATGGCAAACCGATTGCGGCGCTTTAGAAACTTATAGTTAATGCAGCAAAATATTTTCAGCAAATCACGATTAGCTACGGTAGCGGAAAAGTTTTTTTATCATTGTTAGATCGTGCAATCGTGGCGAAAAAAGATTTGTGAATTGAATCTGGGTTTTGAAAACTTGCTATCTTCTAATAGAGGACTTTCCTCTATTATCGAATATCTTCTGCCCGGACGCGTTCGAGTGACATTGTGAAAAGTCGAACTCTCAGGAGATCCCACATCTCCACGAGTTTTAATAAATAGGAAAAATAAAAACTTTCCTCTCTTCTACTTCTTGCTCGTAATCGAACTACTGATTGTTAATTTTAATTTCGATCGGTGGTTTAATTACGTTGGAAGAATCGTCTCTTACGGATTCGACCTGATTCGTTTGAATTGTTGCGGCAAGATTCCGTCTCTGTTAAGATGCTGCTGTTAACAGTACGCGAAATACAAGTACAATCCCGTAATACCACCAATTTACGAAAACTTGGGGGCAATTTCTCCGCGAGTACATTTTTCGCAAATACCCACCACACGCTTCCCACTCGGTTTTAATTCCAACGACGTTAACAACCGTAGCTTATACCGCATAAAGAATGAGTTAATGAAAATAAAGTACGATGGCGGAAATAAGAGTAATGATAGCGCACAGCATCTGCTCCACCGTGGCATACTTTAACGAATTTAAACGAACCGGACAAGGTTACTTGGGGATTTTCAGTAACGATGAAAGATTCGATTGTCACGTCGATATCTCACGTCAACCGCAAAGGGCTGGCGTCGCTGAGATGATATTCCTTCACCTGTTAAACACCCCGAAGCCTTCCAAAATACTAATAACAATAATTTCCTTATATTTTGTCACTTTTTAGACTGGAAAATTTTACAGAAATACAGAAGATTCTTGGACATTGACGGATTTTTAACAATTGCAAAAATTCTTGGCGCTTGAAATAGTGCAACGTCTTTGCCGATAATGTTTTCCTAATTTGCCAGTTTTAGAATCCCCGATATTCGCGATGTGAAGTTTGAAATTCTCTGAATTTTTACAAAATTCTTGGAACTTTAGATAGTGCGACCTCCTTGCTGATCATGTTCTCCTGATATTTTGTCAGTTTCCGAGATTTTTAATTTTAGTGATTAGAAGCTTGAAATTCTCGAAATTCCAATTCTAAGGAAATTTAGATAGTGCCACCTCTTTGCTGATCATGTTCTCCTTATATCTTGTCAATTTTTGGAAATTCAGAAGATACTTGGAAATTGACGGATTTTTTGGAAATTGCCAAAATTCTTGGAACTTGAAATAGGGCAACTTCTTTGCCGATCATGTTCTTTTGATGAGTTGCCAATTTGTGAGAAATTCCTTGGATTGGTTCTCCAGAGTTTGCTTCGTTATCGTCCACGCGACTACAATTAACGAGCTATTTAATATTAACGTTCCGATTTCCGATAGCTCTTACAGGGTGCTTACAATGACCCGCAATTTCCGGGGAATCATAGCCAAGATTTTCAATCAATTTTTCATCGTTTACCTCCTCGGCTGTCCCGGTATTGCGATATTGTAAAAAAAAATTAATGAAATTTAATTGTGCGCCGGAATTTCTGCTTCTCCCCGTAAAGCGCTGCATTTGAAACGCGATATCGCTCCCTTCCCCTGTTTATTATACGAGATAATCCTTTCATTTCCGGATGCTCGGGGATACGCGAAGAGACCGAGTCGCGAGTGATTGTTATCGGAAGAAAAGTTTCGAAATCTGCCGGCTCGAGGATGCGTTTCATCGCGCTCCAATTTACATGCGTCAAACAATCGGCTGGATTTAATTAAAGCGTTTCTACCGGCGCGGCGGTTGCACCCGATTGTCCTTCCGGATTAAAGGGAGGGGGGGGGGGAACGCGGAGTTATTGGCTCGTTAAAACGCGAGTCCGATGAATTTTTTACGATCCGGTAATTGGCCTCGTGCAAATAAGGACCGCGGTAGCTGCGAAATAGCGGCGACGCGACCGCGGGATGTTCCGTCGGATCCGCGGACAGCTTCCGGCGCTCCCGCGGACCGGAACGAGTCCGCCGGGTCGAGGCACAGAGAGACAAGAGGGAGACAAGGCCGAGAGTGATTTACATTGCGGGTGTCGTGCAAACGCGTGCCCGCGGCGCGTACGCGCGTGTACGCGCACTTACACCGATGGAAGATTAAACACGTGCGCGTTTACCGAATCGCGAAAGCTGGAAACTCGTCCGGGCGAGACGCACATACATACGTCCGGACCCGAGTCACGTCGGCGTCATTAAAGACTGCTGGCGGGATACTCTCCGAACTTCGTATATCCGATAATCGTTCCGCGCGGGCCGAAATTAGTTTCGGGATAAGTGGCAGAGCTCCGTCGGAAGCTCCGTTTCTGACGCAGCGACGTCGGGAGTACTTTTTCTCGTCACAAAGGCGGAGGGAGAAGCCGATAATCAATCGCGGTTACGAGATGTATCCGAATACGAACATCGTTTAAAGAAACAATTGTCGTCCGCTGTTATCGCAGCGAAGAAGTGATTTCGAGTTAGCCAGCGCTTTGATTGTTGGACGTACGGATTTCGTGTGTGAATCGCGCGAGACATCTTGTCTTGCCGAGCACCGATAGCGAATATCTCGCGCGACTCACACGAATTTGGACGTTGAAAACCTGCTCTGTCATATTAGAATCCTATCTCATAATAGGGGACCTTCCATATATTGTCTTTGATTCTAAATTAGGATGCGAAGACGTTTAACAAAAGCACTATTCATTTCGTTTACTTTAAAAATGTGAAGAGTCACTTGTATCCATTGATCTCTTTCGCGACGTCGTGTCTCGATTTCACGCGATTTTTGCTCTTTCCGCTTAAACGCTCGCTCTGTGCCAAAACAAGTGTTTAAGCAGAAAAACCGGGAATCGCGTAAAATCAAGACACACAATCTTGTGAGAGAGATCGGTCGATACCTTCTTCGTTGTAGACGATGTACTCTTAGAATGTGACCAGGAAGCAGAAGATTGATGAGCCAATAAGATACACAAGCTCCGCATTTGTAGCTTGAAGTACACGTTAAACGTAACATTGCTCCACATTAATAGGTTTCGTAGAAACCGCTATTAACGACACGACACAACTTCGTTATTGCGACCGACGAAATAACTTGGTTATAGCGATTGACGAAACATCTGGAGGTATCACCGGACGATTTAATACCAGGCGTCCTCTACCAGGGATCGGAAGGGACTGGAAAAATATACCGCATTAAATAATACCTCGGTGGCGCGCTGCAATGTAATCGGCAATAAAGTTTTACGATCGATCACTTTTCCGCCGGGTTCTATTGACAACGCCGGAAGTCGTCGTCTGTAATCCTATTCTTATCTCAATGTCGCGAGGGAGTCACCGACCTTCCGTCAGCCGAGCATGACATTTGCTTAATGGCAGCAGGAAAATAAATGTTCAGATGCGCGCGATCGAACGCTCCCAGGACTTTCTGACATCAAGTCAGTCTTTGATATATGCGAGCCTCAATAATGACATGTGCCACTCGATCGCGGGTTTTATACGCCATAAATTTTTCGTGCCTTCTACAAACTAGTAAATATTAAAAATCGCCGTCGCGAACGTCCCTGCCGTTCGTGCCCGCCCCGTAATTGACGTGATTTTCTTTCATGAGCCGGTATCAAATCGCGATTAATACCGATTGTGAGCCGTACTCGATTTCAACGTCTGAAACTCCGGTCCGCACTAAATTCCAATTAAATTCTCGTTACTCCTTTTTATATACAACGGACGCTCCCCGCACGGCCGCCCGACGTATCGTGTGTAAACTTTGAGCAATGGCGAAAAAGCGTTAATTCGTAAAAACCGTTCCACTTTCGTCGGGTAAAATTGATTGCGGGGCAACGCCGAAAGCGCGGGAGGAGCACACGGGATCGTAGATCTAATACGAGCGCGGGGAAGTGTCAATTTGTTACGATTAAATGTTCCATCGAAATGGCATCGCCGCGGGGATAAACGATTCTACGGTATCTCGCCGGTAATGGACGATAAATTTTCAAGATCACGCAAACTTTGCCTGCGGGGAGAGAGAGAGAGAGCAGAGAAGGAGGAGGAGGAGGAGGAGGAGGAGAGAACCGGCACCGCGCCCGGAGGGCATCGGCGAAACTCTTTACCGATAATTCTATTTCCGTCGCAGCTCGTCCGCCACCGCTTGTTCCTATTATCGCGCCCGAAGACAGGTGGAGATAGGAGGATGGCAGGGGTGGGGAGGAGCGGGCGGGCGCCCAATTTATCTACGATTGGAAAAAAAAGGAAAGCGACTCGATTCAGGTATCGAATGTCGAGGAATCAAGAAAAATGGCTACGGACGTTCAGCGGCCAATCGAAAACTCTCTCTCGGGAAACTGATAGCTTCGAACAAGCCGCGCGATTAACTGTTTAAAGTTGCTCTTCGAAATATATTAAATACGGCTCGCGTAGTTCACGTGTGTCGCCTTAATCACTCGTTATATGATTAATAATCGCGGCAATGTATACGCGTATTAATAACATCAATAATGTTTCTTAGTGCCGCCGTTAGAAGTGTTGCTTGCCAGCTGAGACGAATAATATTTTCGTTGATAAAGTTGTTCGGCTATTACGAAAAGTTAAGAGTCTCTCTATAGAGATATATACATCCCCATTAGAGTCTCTAATTAAATTTCTAAAAGTACCACCGGGGGCAAAACAGGAGAGACTGGTAGAAAGATCCCCTCTTAATTACGGCGCAAAATTAATAATAATATTTCGTGGAAAAATACTCCTCGGTGTCCGCGACATCGCAGATACAAGATAAACATTATTGGCGAGACTATTGCCCCGAGATATGCTGGCGGGGCTGTGCCAATAATTCTATTTCCGTCGTAGCCGCTGTTCCTATTATCGCGGCAGAAGATGGGAAAGGGATGAAAAAAAGAGAGAGAGAGAGGTGTACTATGGAAGGGTGTCCAAATGAGGCCAATTATGCCGGGGCTATCGATCGAGATTTTATCGGCGTGTCCCCACTCGAGCGGCTCCAACGCAAATATTTCTTTCGGGATGGAGCATCCTCGAATCCGAGGGAGACGCGGGGTTTGTCCGCGTAAGGCGATCTCGGGCCTGAAAGCTCAGCTATGATAAAATAAGAAGGTTGTCGGGAGAAAGAGAGAGAGAGAGAGAGAGAAAGAGAGGGCGGAGCGCGCTTATTAAGAGCCAATGAAGAACATCCTTTTACGTGGAAGTATTCAGCACAATAGTCTCCACCGAGAGGGAAGATCTGGGTGGCTTTCGTCGGAGCGGAAAGAGGCGAGAGAACAAAGGAAAAAGAGCCACAACCGAGATGAAAAATGATCAGAATATCAATGTAATTGTGCCCGCGTTGATTATAAACGAGAAATTGCCGAAGGGGAGTTTTCCTCCCTTTTTCCTCTTTACAGCTCCTGCTTTAGCACCGCTGTCTAGGGTCGTTCGAAAGATCGTCGCTTAAATTTTTTGATTGAAAACCATCGGGTACGGAACTCGACGAGCGCCTTACGGCTCGGCTCTTAACGCCGACGCGGATCGCCGGTGCCGTGAAGTTACAGATCTATAAGACAGTCGCTAATTATGGCGTTATAAACAACGCGTCATACGAAGCTCTCTAAAAAAAGAAAAAAGGCGTTCCGAGGAACGTGGATTGGGTCGAGGCTGGAGAGAGTGTGTGTGAGAGAGAGAGGGGGGGGGGGCGAGACTCACCACCATGTCAGAGCCACTCTTGGAGGTGTCGCTGACGGCGGAGGGGCTCCTTTCGATAACGAGGCCTCCAGGTACCGGTGTCGAGGTCGGCGTAGGTGTTGGCGTATTCGTGGGCGTCGGGGTCGCCGCCGAAGTGGTGCTGGCCGGTTGGCTTGACTTCGGAGTCGGTCCCGGTGTAACGACGGTGGACGATGCTGACACCGATTGATCCTTGTCGGAGCCTGTCTGGTTGTTCCCAGCAACGGCACCGCCGCCGCCGCCGACGATGGACGACGCTGCTCCTGCGGCCGCTGTCGAACTCGAACCACCGGACAATTCATCCGTTGGCAAAGAGCTCCCAACGTCTGTCAATAGCAAGTACACACCGTTCCGTCCGTTATTTAACCATTTCGGGCGCGACGTGCTCTACGTTGACGGTGCTCCGACGCGTATGGTAACCGCGGGGCCGCAGCTTCTCAGAAAACTTACTTTCTACTTCCGAAAATTTTTCAGACGCCGATCGGAAAATAAAAAGAACACGACAAATATTATCATACGTGATAATCTCTTTAGGTTGCCAGCGATAACTAACAATGGATCAGTTTAGCCGACCATAACTGGCACTTGTTTAACAAATAAAGTAGAAAATAAGTAGAATGTCGAATAAGGAAACTACGCAGGCTAAAATCACAGTGCTTTTCTCATATGAGACGACAAATGTGGCATCAAAGTACTATTGAAGTTACTAAGAAATGCACTTACATTTTTTACCGCTGTTAATATGTAATTTTTAATTCAGCGTTAAACTGGAAACACGGAATAATTTATTCAGCGACGAAGAGCTCCTAAAAGCTTAGTTGTGAAAAGTTCCCCTATCGTTTAGTCCTTTTAACAATTAACACTTTTTACGGGGGTTAATTTCGGGATGTATATTTTTAAAAATTAATCAAGAAGAAAATGTGCGAGACTAACGCTGAGAGAATTACTTAATACGCTAGGGCCAGTATTCGTAGTCGGATCTTACATTCGAGACTGTCTCACGATCGTCTTCAAATACTCCGTAGCCAATGAAATGTACTGTACAGCATCTTTAAATAAATTCAAGACGGTCTTGAATACAAAACCCGATTATGAACGCCGATCTAAATGACCGGCTTGCGAGCTTGTTAACATATTTATCAAATCCGATCGGATAGAGCAAGGAAAGTTAACATTGGTAACGTGATATTTTAGCGACTGCGTTATTCGCATCGTCTACACGCATGGACAATCCAGCACGAGTTTGCTGTTCCATATGCAACACGACCGGGCCGGGGGAAAAAAAAGTTAACGAAACTAATTTAACTATTCACGGCGCGAGAAATTCAACGAGAATAAACATTTATGCTGGCGTGAACAATGTTGCATCGCCGAGGGCGCTTTATAATAGTTCTGGACTCTGGTGTCTTTCTTGTTACATGCAAGAGGCATCGCTCGTTACTTTCGTGCAAATTGCGAAATTGCGAGGACGAGGCGAGGCGAAACAAATTTACGAAAGCCAAATGCAAACGACGCCGTTTAGAATTAGCCGGGTGTCTTGAAGTTAATCCATCACAACAATCGCGTTACGCGGTATCATCTTCTTTGCAAATCGAACGCGTGGGGACCTCATCTCCCGGCATAAGCGGATTCCGCTCGCAGCGCGCAATTACGCAAATTGTAATTACCTTGGGCGCTTCTTGCTACGACTAGCTCAACCAGACCACGGGCCTTCTGAAGAATCGAGATCGCCTGCTCATGGGAGATGTTCGAGTCTAAGGGCTGCCCATCGATCGCCAATATTTGATCTCCCTCTAGCAGTCGACCGTCGCTGAAACAAAAATGCCTTAATTCGGTATGCGCCGCGTCCCAGGTGAGACACGCGATCGGCAAACGGCACTCGACCGCCGCTCGTGAAAATGAGTCTCGGGAATAAATAAAACAGACTGCTGAGTGAATAGTGAATTGCGGGCGACGGGCGAACGAAATGGCGCGCGCATTACGCGGGGCAATACTGTTTGCCATTGACATTTCCGCTCGTTCGCGCGCGCGTCCGCTTTATGCATTTCGGATCGGGTCGGCTAAATAATCAGGGGGCGATCAATAATCAACTTATCTAATAACGCGATATGAATACCCGCTATGCAAATATACACGCGGCTCGCTCGGGGCCGTTATAATTAGATTGCTTTCCGGGGGAGGAGGGTGGTCGTCGACCGCGCATTATCAGATCGTTGCGATTTTTATCCGCGCTCCGGGGAGGTGGAAGGGGGAGGGAGGGGGGGGGCACTTAACCATTGCGAAAACTTCGACGCGCTCGTAATCTCCTCCCGTTTGCCTTATCGCGGCGACCCGCCGAGGTTGCAATTAGCTCACGCTCGTTTTCAGACTTTTTAACGACGCGGACGCCGCCGTTCAAACCCCCGATCCCCAATTTGTACGGCCGATATTAAATAAAAATCCCGGGGCCGCCCGCGAACAATACCCGCGGGCGATACCTACAACTTTTATCCCGTTATCTCGCGTAGATCTGCACCGAGCGCGCGTATCGTCGTGCTCGTCGTACAGAGCTTTGTCACGTACGCAAAGGCCCGTGTCCGCGGTGCCCAGAACTTGGTCCGCGTTTTAGTTTAGCTGTTCCATAAAAGCTGCAAGTTGATTGGCCGCGCGTTCCTCGGAACTGGAACTCGGAGCAAGTTTTAGCGTCGTGGACGCGGGCCCCGAGAGACAGGATGACGCGCCGATATTATGTGATGCACCATGAAAATCCCTTGCAGCCTGCCCTTCCGACTGCGGCGATTAAATTTTTAATAAAGTCGTCGGGGTGTCGCGAGGGAAATTTCCGTGACGCGCAACATGTAATCGGATAAGTCGTTTGATGCTAACTCGATTTATCATGCAGCCCCTTGCAGGTTCCTTTACGACAACGTGATTTACACCTTATATCGCAGAGAATAAGATTATTAGAACGAGCGCGGATGGTAGCGTATAAGGAGAGGTCGGGCGCTGCGGACTCGGTCCTCGTCGCATCGTCTGTATTATAAAAGATACCCGTGTCGCTCGGGAGGGACGGAAGGTCCCGCAAAGTACACGCGATACAGTTGCCCATTCAAGGGAAAATGGATACGGCGAGGGACACAACAGATCGCCGTAATGCTACGAGATATTTCGTGCCGAAAGTGGCTCCGGTCGTTTCACGGTGGCCGCCAAGATAACGGCGTTATCGATATCGCTTCGAGCGGAACGAGCCGATCGGTCGTCCGCAATCTGTCGAGAACTCCGTACGACAATACGGACGAGCGAAGGGCGAGGAATCACGGGGACAGGCCGATAAAGGACTTTTGACAAGCGGCGAGACCCGATATCTGACTAATTAAATTTCACGACGACGGTCGAGAAAATTTCTCCTTAGACGTGGTAACCGCTCCGCTCGCCAAGTCCACCGTCTCGTAACTTCCGCGTAATTAAAACCCGCTACGGGCTTTATAAAGTGCGCCGGAACCGTCCTTTCTTCCGTGTCACGGATACCGGCGGCCGAAATAAGGAGCGTGATAGCCACTTGGATGGCAGACGGGGCCTCGAATGAAAAATAAAGGGGACCCGTCCAATTTAATTTTAGAGGCGCAAACGGAAATTGTACCTTCCGGTTGCCTTAAAGCTGAAATTCACGAGTCCCCCGAGCGGTGCCACCGCGTATCTTACGCGGAAATAGCGAATCGTTTTATTTCCTAGTCTTCCGTGTTTTGGCGAGATAGAAATAAAATTCCCCGGGTGAACCGTGTCAGAGGTGACGAAACAGTCGACTACACTCGAACCGAAGCGCGTTGCGCGGCTTGTCGGCTTCTCACGTTTATCGAATTGTAAAACGAAATTACTAATAAATGAACATTTGTCGCGCGTGCTGACATAACAACTCGACACTTTATGTGTGCCATTTAAAAGATTATCTAAAAATTATCTCAACTATTCTAATCTGCAACTATTCGCGCAGTTTACTCATCCCGTCCGTTTTTATTACACTGCACTTAAGGTGAAAAGCACGTAAACGCAAATGTGAAGTGCAGTGTTAATTAATTAAATTTATCAAAAAGTAACACGCGATAAATGTTACTTTAGCTGAAAATTTAGAGTGGACTTTTTGGGACACGTGTAAAACTTCTCAAAAGATTACTTGACCATGTCTGGCAAATGTTTGTGTTTAAACTCACAACGCTTCGACCCTGACTTGTGGTCCTTTTCAAGCGATAATCGTGTCAAAAATGCAGTGTGGCAAATCGAAGGAGCAGGTCTCGATTTCACGTAAGGCAGAAACGCGACAGAAACGCGTGAGAAACGTTTAACATTAACATTGTCTTTCTTACCGCGCACTCACGTCGTAAGCGACAATGGAAAATAACGAGGGGAAAATCGCGCGGCGAGAATCGCGGGGATCGGGGAGGGAAATTGCGGATCTCACGCGACGATAACGCTATCGGAGCCATCATTACGCCCGTTACTGCCTCCGCGTCGCCATCGTTTATCGAGTGGGACGCATTCTCGGCGACATTTGGCATGGCACGCAAAGCTACACACCGCGATCCCGGCGTTTAATGGCACGACGGCGGTCACGTTACCCAATTTCCGTCAAACTGAATTTCAATGCCCGCGCTGTCGCTAATGATACCGGCTTGTCGGCACGGCCGCGGTAATCTACGCCCCGATTTTCTGCGGATCGAACCAGGGCGCCCGGCGAGATCCCGGGATCCGGCTGGAACGTGCTGTCCGCATGACACGACAGATCTTACGGGGGCTGCGTCATCGTGGGACGTACAGGGCGAGCGAACGAGGCCACGTTTTCGAAAAACGAAAAACAGAAAAAAAACGCGAAAACAAAGATTCTTAAAAGATTATCCCGGATCGGAGAACGTGCTGCTCGTTTTGCGTTCTGCCGCTGACGTTAATCACTTTGTTACCCATTTTATATCACGAATGTTCCTCACGCCGCGTGTGCAGCATAAAACGACGTTATTGATTCGTGCAGATACAAGCCACGAGAGCCTGCGTTGCTTCAGAGAGAAATTCACCTGGAGCTAAATCGCTTCTGCGCGCGTGTGATTCGCGGTCGCGGAATTTTTTTATTTTTTTATTTTTTAAAGAAACGAGATCTTCAGCGCGTTACGAAAGACACTCGACAAAGAACAGTCGTACGGCGGATGAAACGAAATTTTAAAACTGCCACGGGGGATAAAATGTAGCCGGATACCATTTGTCGGAATTGCGCGGTGATAAATAAAAGGGGAATAAAGTAATAATGATAACAACGGCGGAAACGCTGCCGCGGTACGAAAACCGTGTGAAGTTCATAAAATAAAGATAGCAGCGGGGCAACGGGTGTGAGCCCGTTGCAAAGGCACACCAAAGGGGTGGAAACGGAAACACGGGGCCGAGAAGTCGCGGGCAGAAACGACAGTGGATTGATATAATCGCGCTTTGTGCTTTGAAAAGCTCGGCGGAATGGTAGACGAAAGGTCATCGCGGGACCGCAATAATGACTCTGATAAAAATTGCGCCAGCGGCGCGCAAGATACCGGACAAAAAGCGGGAATGTACGTACACGCGCGCGGTGTAAAGCGCGATCGAGAGAGTTAATGAGGAGCGGTGGGTATGCGAGAGAGTGGACCGGGGAGCGCAAAAGCGCGTAGGAACGGCGTGTGCTCACCACCGCTAGTGTTCCGGCGCTCTGTAAATTATGAATGAGGCGTATCCTGCGCGAGCCCGTGTGTACCGAGCTCTCAGATTACTCCGGCAGCGCGCCCCGGCGCTTCAAAGTACGAGGGTGGATAGCGTATGAGGGTCGCGCGAGCAGAAGGGTGGACGGTGGCGTCCAACCTCGTCGAACGTAGGAAAACACCGGGAAGGGGCGGAGTTTCAACGGAGTCTCCCGGCGTACGCGAGGACCGGGCGACTGGATGTTGCACGGTCGTAAAATAAAAACGCGGGGCCTCCGATCCTCTCGCGTTTACCGCGCGCGTACTCTTCCGCCGCTCCTCCGCGCGGAATCGTAAACCGGACGTAACGTCTCGGGACTTGAAGCGCGAGAGCCCGGTACTCCTTGGCTCCTCGGCTTAACGCACGACGAGCTTCTCTCCGCACCTCGCCTTCTCCCGCGAGTTAACGTAAACGTACGACAAAGGCAGCCGCGCGCGGTCTTTCCAAGTTCTATTCTGGACGAGCGATCCGTCCGCATCTCCGATCGGGAAATTTTCAGATCCGACGCGCGGCACCGCCTAACTATCCATTGTGCCCCCCCCGTGCTGGCGATATAGTTGCGCGACTGACTGGCACACACTAAACTTTCGCCGAATTTCCAAACTGTTGGAGAACACAGCTCAGGCTCGCACTTTGTAGGAAACGCGGCCATTATGCAAAATCGCCCACGTAAATTCTGCGGGAACTGCAAGTGCTACAAGATAATTACGTAACTAGCTCAGAGACGTAATTTATGCCTCACGTAAATAATACCGACAAACAACAGCTGCGCGACGGGAGGGGGACCTGCCGCGCTATTCTTTTATCTTCTTCAATGATCGCGTACAGAGTGCACGAATGTTTTCATTAAGCGGGTGGGGAAAAAAGAAAAGTCTTTTTTGTGCCTCTTCATTATTCGAGCTGGCCCTTGGGGAAAAGGGACGGACGATTCTTGTTTTTCGCGATTCGGCTCAGCACTGATTGCAGTCAGCGATTCCGGCGCGTCGCGGGTTATTTATTCTTCAGCCCGCGGACTATCTGATATGCTTGCAAGCGCCTGTGAAGCGCTTGATCGATACTATCTCTATCTATTGAAAATGGAGC